TATGTACAAAGTATAAGAGATGAAATTTTACCATCCTGGCTTGTAAGGAGTATTCATTAAGTTATTCTACTGTATTTCCCTGTAGTTCCATCTATTTCTGCTCCGTGACTATCTTTGCCAGTAGCTTCAAGGAATCTACAGATTGCCCTGCCATTAAGAAGGTGGAGCAGGCATTTTTTGACTATGAGCAATGCCCACAAGGACAAGAGCTGAATGCTAAAGATGGTGCAGTGGGAAGATCAGTAGAGCCTGGGGCTTTGCTGATGTCACTGAGCCACTGCCCAGTCCTAAATTGCCTTCTTCTGGCGTTATTATGTGTTTGAGTCACTGTTTTTGGGATCCTGTTGAACACAGCTAAACACAATTCCTAATGGAGATATGAGTCTATGCATTTTAAAAGTTAATTAATAAAATAACCCTATGTTGTGCCCCTCCTCTGAACCAATTGCTTCTACATCATTCTACCCCATGCTAGTAAGCAGCACCACTACCCCTCAGTTGTTCAGAATCTAGGTTTAAACTTTTAAAAGATCATGGAAATGTAAAGTTCTCAGGCCTGGAGTCTGGATCCCATTGGTTGAGTCCCAAGGGGCCAGACTGGAAGAATGGCAACTCAATGTGTAGCTCACTATGCTCCCAGGGCTCCGTAAACGCCCCCAAGTCCACAGTTATTTGGGAAGCTAACATATGAGTAAAGAGTGATTTGTTAACAATTCTTGTAACTTAAGAGTTCATTATCAGCTATTTTAGATGAATAAGTAAACATTAATGACATAACCTCAGTCATAAAATCAAAGCATTTCTGAAATTAAAATTTATGCTAGTAAAATATTATTTGGTACACAAAGTATATAATCACACTGGAAAACATCTATTCCATAAAATGAGGTATATTTGTACTAAAGGAAGTAACCATCTTTTGATTTGTAATGAAATCAAAACTAAGTAATTCTCGACATTAAAATGAGCGTTTATCAGAACAAGGGTACAAGAAAGTACCAAAGTGCTGTATTTGCTGTTTCTCTGTGTGCTATGTCTTAGCCGGTAGTCTACAAAGTCCTTGAGGGTAGAAACTATCTCTTACCTAACTTTGTATATGGCACAGTGCTCAGTGTGTAGGCATTTAATAGATAAATTTAAGAATGAAGTGGTAAAAAAACAAACAATAAGAGGCATGTATATCTACAATAGTAACCAGTATGATAGAAATAAAATAAAAAATTGTTAATACGACATGCTTAAAGTGTTCCTGGTACATACATTGCAACGTTTTGTAGACTGGCAGTAATTTAAAGTCAGATTATTGTTGTTGTGAGGTGCTGTTGCGTCAGTTCCGACTCATAGTGACCTTGTATGTTTAGGGTTTCCGAGGAGCAGCTGGTGGGGTTAGTTCAGGTGAAACACCTTAGTCTCTCATGATTCCCATCTATGGCAACACATCACTGGAGATAAGTACAGTTTTCCCTTGGTATCCACAGGGGACTGGTTTCAGGACTGTTCCACACTCCCCTCCCTTCTGCAGATACCCAAATCAGAGATGCTCAAGGCCCTTATATAAAATGGTATAGTATTTGAATATACCCTGTGCACACCATATACTTTAAATCATCTCTGGATTATTATAATACCTAAATCAATGTAAACGGTATGCAAATAGTACTTTATGCTTCCTTTGAGGGATTGCTTTGGCCTCTTAATTGCTTTTTAGGTATCATTTTCTCCAGAAACAAAGGGTGCACACAAGTAGATGGAAACAAAACAAAACAAAACAAAAAACAAGGAGCAAAAAAAAAAACCCAAAACACCCAAACAAACCGAGGAACAACTGAAACAAGGAGTGCTGGAGAGAGACTGAGGATTTGTGATATGGTGGGAGGCTACAACATGGCATGCCTGTATAGCACTTCATTTATGTGGATTCCATATAGAGCTTTTTAGAACTCTCTGGATTTTTCTTCCTTGAATATTTTTGATTGGTGGTTAATTGAATACCTGGATGCAGAACCCGCAGATACAGAAGACTAACTTTACATCTGTTCTTCAGATCCAAAGCAGACAGTATTATCTGAAGATAAGCCGTTTACTCATTCTTTCATTCAACAAATATTTGAATTGAAACCATGTTTTTCTAAGCAGAACTTTATGAACAATCCTAATTACTGTTGCATGGAAAAATAGTAATGAATTATCTAGAAAGCTAATAAACCTGTACACAAGCATAGTAGCCAAACATTAACATAATACAAAGCATTATTAAATGTACTAAGTTAAAGATATGGTTTTAAAATAAAATACTTGGTTATTTATTGCCCCAGTCTGTATAAAGTACATTTAAAAAGAAAATCAGTTAAGAGATTGTAAAAGATTATAAAAGATCATATGAATACCTAAGTGAGATGCTTATGCAATTCGTAATGGAACATGACTGAAAGTGAAAATGATCTCATTCACAATAGCAGCTATATGGACTAACAAATATTTGTAATCTGTGCCTGTATATACATGTTCTTTCACATACCCACAAACATGCTCACGCAACATAAAACATTGTCTTACCCAAGATTTTCAAGGCCAAAAGCTCGATTCAAGTCACAGTCGATATATCTGGAACACTTCTTCACTGCTCTTGGATTGGTAATAAACGGTTTTACCTCCAGCCCCGCTCTCTGAATCTCAGCACCATCTTCTAGCCAGTGCTTAACTAGAAATACTCCTGTTAGCTCATTTCCATGCGTTCCTCCAAAGATAGCAACCTTTTTTATAGGCTTTTCAGCAGCGTGACAAGAGGCCATTTTACCAGGTAGTTTTATCTAATTTCTACAATACAGAAGAGAGGAGATCAAATTAATTTCTGAAGAAAAGTTTAGAAGTTTAAATAGAAAGAAATCTTCAACCAAAGTGCAAAGTATGAAGTTCACTTGAGTAGATTTTTAACTCTGCTACAAGTTCTGAACTCTGTTTATTATATGGACACGCCTATTTTTAGCCCTGCCCTTAACCGTATTTGGTTTAAAATATGCAAAGATCAACTAGAGAGACAGCTGTTTACCCTAACTTCTAACTCCCTCAGATGGTCAGTAGCTCTAAATACAATGAATCAGCATCATATTCATGTAAAAATGCTGCTTTTCCTTTCCTGACATCTAATGGTGCGTTCACGATTACTTATAATAGCAGAAATAGTTTTAACATTTCTAGTTCCAAAAGAATACATAAAAAAAATAAAGAAGTGGCCCATATACACACATGCTATTTTTCAGCATTTCTGGTTTCACTGGCACTTGAAAACAGGCACTTTTCATCATCTGAAAGGACTGAATATCGTCTTCATAAACAGTCACATCCTTAGAGGACTCCCCTTGAACCAAAGTTCTTTCCCAGCCACCACCCCCACCCCATCCCCAGAATATTTTAGAGGCATAAGGACCAAACAAACGATCACCACTTGTCTGTCAGTTTGTCATACTGTGGTGGCTTGTGAGTTGCTGTGATTCTGAAAGCTATGCCACAGGTATTTTAAATACCAGCAGGGTCACCCATGGTGGACAGGTCTCAGATGAGCTTCCAGACGAAGACAGACTAGGAAGAAGGACTGACAAACTACTTCCGAATATTTAGTCACTGAAAACCTTATGAATAGCAGAAAAACACTGTCAGATATAGTGCTGGAAAATGAGCCCTTCAGGTTGTAAGGCACTCAAAATGCAACTGGGGAAGAGCTGCCCCCTCAAAGTAGAGTTGACCATGATGACATGAATGGAGTAAAGCCCGTGGGAGAAAAGCCTGCGGGAACTTCATTTGCTGATGGGGCACAACTCAAAATGAAGAGAAACAGCTGTAAATATCCATTGAAAATTGGAACATGGAATGTACGAAGTATGAATCTGGGAAAATTGGAAGTTGTCAAAAATGAAATGGAACGCATAAACATTGATATCTTAGGCATTAGTGAGCTGAAATGGACTGGCATTGGCCATTTTGAATCTGACAACCACATGGTTTACTATGCAGGGAATGACAAACTGAAGAAGAATGATGTTGCATTCAT